TGCAGAGAATAGATACTCATATGACATAAGAACCTGCATATATTTATAGACCTGATCCTATTCTTGCTGATGTTAAATACAAAGTCCTCATTCACCTCAGGAAGCACAATATTGGATAACGTAAGTATGATTTTTTCAAAACTTCTCAAAAAGGAAGAAGGCTGTTGTATTTTAGACACTGGACTGGGACTCAGAAAATCTATTTTTAATTTGTAGGTTTGCTACTGATTTCCTGTGTGACCTTGGGCAAGTCTTTTAAGGTCAACTTTTTGCTTGCTGCCCTGTATTACTCTTGCATCCGCTACCTGTCCTAAGGTTACCTGCGCAGAAAACAGAGGAAACAGATTCCATAGAACTTCTGCCTAGGCTTTGTGCAGGTATATGCGGGCATACATGTGGAAGTGTTGGTTCTCACCCACTCCCACAATTGGCTGGTCAGCAGAGACGGACTGACATGCAGGGAATGGACACTGTTCTGGGCGGAGACTTGGTCCAGTCTCTGTAGCAGCAGCAGCAGGCTGTTCTGGGTTGGTGAAAAATGTGATGTCACTTACCCTGGGCTAATAGTAAGTCTGCTATTGAGCCATCAATATCCTTGTGTCTCACTTCCCTGTCTATAATATGAGGTTATTGATTACCTCTTTTCTTCCCTCTTTTGTCTGTGTTCCTTATTTAATTTGCAAAGTTCTCTGGGCAGGGGCAATCTCTTGCTCTGTGTGCAGTCCCCAGCATAATGAGGCCCTGCTCTCATTTGGGGATTGGTAGATGTTACTCATTGGGTCACTGATTTTTCAGGCTAGAGAAAATCTAGTCTTGCCTCCTCTATAACACAGAAAGACAATCTTTGCATGGCAATCTGTACCTTAAGCCCATATTTGGTGGTTGAGTTAGAGCACAGTTTTTTAAAAGACATCTACCATATTTTCTTGTATACAACATATGCCAAAATAAGATATACACCTTGTTCTTGAAGGGCAGAATAAAGAAAAAAAGATGTTTCCTTGTAGTAAGTAACTGAGTAACAGTATCTAAGAAGCTGAGCCTGCTCATTCTTCTGCCCTCTGTGGATTACATGCAAAGTCACTTTTGCTTTTGCCTGGCAGAAGCTTTAGCAGTAAAAACTGCTGTTACCATATTCGTTCACTTGTAATGCACATCCCAATTTCTAGCAGCTGCTTTTTGGGGAAAAAGTATGTATTTTAAGTTAAAAAATATGATAGTCTTAATTTTAAGAAGTTCAAATGATGGAGAATACACCATACACTTTTATTGCCTGAGTTAATTACTCTCACTGTTAAAAATGTGTCTGAATTCTTCTGGCCACTGGGTCTTGTTATACATTTTTTCTGCCATCTTGTATCAGAATTCTTCCCATCATTGGGGTGTCTACAAACTGTATCTCTGTAATCCCTGTATCTCTTCTAAACCCTTCTCAATTTTTCAAGATCCTCTTTATAGAAACCAGAACAAGACTCAGTGGGCACGTCTACATGATCATTAATATGCCATAGTTACTGCACAATAAATTTAGTACTTTGTGTAATCAAGTACTGAATTAATGTGCAGTAACCAGAGTTACTGTGCAGCAGCACCAGCAAATGCTTTTTTAGTGATACTACTGCACAGTAGCCTAATAATACTGCACAGTAGTGTATTAGCACTGTTTATGCTGTGATGCATTACTGCACAGTATTATTAGGTTACTGAGCACTTAGTGTCTCATGTAGATGTGCCCAGTGTTTCCATAATAGTTGCAATAATGCATTACAGTGGGCATGTCTACACAAGACGCTAACTTTGCACAGTAGCCTAATAATACTGTGCAGTAGCATGTCACGGCACAAACAGTGCTAATACACTACTATGCAGTATTATTAGGCTACTGAACAGTAGTGTCACTATGAAGGCATGTGCTAGTGCTACTGCTCAGTAATGCTCATTACTGTTTTAATTTAGTACTTGATTATACAAGTACTAAATTTAATGTGCAGTAACTACGGCACAGTAATGAATGTGTAGATGTGCCCTCTGTCTATAACACCACACTATCCCTGCTTGATATTTTCCTGCTTATACATCATTCACTTATTACTTTACTACTTGTGAGTAACAAAGCCAACAAATTATGAAACTTTTGTGATGTACCACACCAGCATGTATTTCACCCATGCATGTACCATATAAGCCATTCACTCATACTGTTTTAGGCCCCATTCCTATTAGGTACTTGGAATCACATGCTGATCTATGAACCTATAGAGAGCCCCAGTGAGGTTAGTAGAGCAGCAGTGGTGGGAGAGAGGGAAGGTCTTCCCTGTGGGGAGCCTCTTGCAGGATTAGGGTCTGAGTGTTGCATTTAACCGTTTGCTTAGTTTTGATAGTCAGCAACTGCCTGGCCAATAATCTGTTTGTTTCTTTATCAAGCAGACTAATAAACAGTGCTGTGTTGCTAAATGCGTCTAAAGGGAAGAGACAGCCTTTAGCCTTACTGCACTTCTTATGATTATATCAGTCTATTTTAGCTGAGCCAAGTATATTTACATGAAATAATGGAATGAGTTTTGCAAATCCCCCCCTTTTTTTTTATTATAAGTGACCGTCTAGCCAAGTTCATTTCCTCTCCTGTCTGAGCTCCTCTCTGAAATATATTATCCCACTTATTAAAAGCCAATAGCCTTGCGCTTTCCTTCTCTTCCACCCTCTCAGAAGAAGGGGCATGCAGGGGATTCTCGGATTTAGCGAGTGGGGCACCCCAGAGCTTGGATTCTTCATGAATGAGCTCACATCCTTTCTCTGTATGATAAGAGGAGCGCCTTTTGCATCAGGCAGTAGACTACATAAATATATACACTTTGGAAGGGTAAGCCTTTTGCCTCAGTATAAACTGTGATTTCCAAACAATGAGCTGACTGACAAGGAGTCATCTGCCAGCCCTCCAAAGCAGGCAAGCTGCGGAGAGTTCTCAGTGGCAACGGTCTGTTCACTCCAAGGAAATCCATCTCTGGAGGGGAGGAGGGAAAAGTCAGAGAGAGAAAGAGAGGGAGAGAGAGAGAGATTCCTGTTTGCCTTCTGCACAGAGAGCAGCTGCAATTGTCTTATGACAATATGTCAACATGAAATCATGACAAATCAGGCAGAGATGCACTACCAGATGAAAACAATAAGGAGGAAGCAAAGTGGGGGTGGGAAGGGAGGGTGGAAAATAGAAAAGAAGGAATTAAATCTAAAGTTCTGGATGCTTTTGTTGCTGTTGTGGACATGCCCTATCATACTTAACAGGAACAAAGCTCATAGCTATCTACTGACATTCCTTTAAAGTTCGTTTAAAAATGTTTAATACGTTTACTATTCTGTAAATTTTCTAGGACCTTTCCATCTGAGAAGATGATAAAGAATAGCCTGTAATATTTTCTTAGGAGGGATAGTTTACTGGGAACCCTTGAGGAATTAGAGGGTCACCTGGCAGGCTTTTGTAACATGTGATACCATACTTTGTCCCAGGTACAGGGAAGGAAATGCTCCTTGGCCCTACAGTCCCATGTACATAGCCAAAAATAATGTAGAAGAGTGAAAGCACTTTCCAGTGTATTTTTGCATACCAAATTGTTCCTGCCTGATAGCAAAGGGAGAGCTAGCAGGAGAAAGGCCATGGCTTCCTGCTTGCCTCCTAATTTCTATCTTGCAGAAGTCCTTGAAATGGGACGCAATGAATGTTTCCTTTTATTAAAAACTGAGCCTTCTCCAACCCACACAGTTTCACAACACTTGATAGAATGCACATTTTCCCAGAGTGTCTTTTTTTTTTTTTTAGCAATGTCCAATAAAAAATCCTTGCAAGACCTCATGGAAATGTCAGTAGCATGGCCAAATTCAACCTTAACATAAATGCGTGCAAGATTAATTGAATTCAGTAGAAGTTGCTGTCTCTGTGACCAGATCTGGACTGATTGGCCCATGGTAATTTGTCACTTAAGCTATATAATGTTTTCAAAAATAAAGTTTTGCATATTAATATTAGATCATTAATTGGAATCTATTAGGAGTGGCCTGAAAAGAAAAAAGTATTGAATTTAAATGTCTTTATCAATAAGCCATATCTTTCCCAGTAGTGAATCTAAGAATGGCATTCAGCATGTGATCCCTACCTAAATGCTGAGTTTATTTTCCTTTGTTCAGGTTCTGCTACATCTTTGACTGCTGTGGCCAGCTGGCATCTGTGCTTGCATGCCATGCTGCCATGCCACAGCTGGTTCAAGCCTGGGGAGACTTGATGGGTTTGCCTTGTTGGGTGGACAATGCACAAAAGTATTTTTTTGCAGTTTCGCTTTGCATGCCTATATGGGAAAATTCAGTGGAATGTAACAGGTATGAAACCAAGAGGGTTCTCCAGACATGTAAAAGGATTTTATAGAGATTGCTGTACAACCCTCCTAGCCCCCCCCACTAAAATAAATAAAAACCCCACCAAAAAATAAAATATCCCTACTATCAGATCTCCCCAAAACTCATAACAAAAACTGAGTAGAGAAGGAAATCCTTCCATGGGTTTTCAAGCCCTATTGGAAAGCATTTTTTCTGTTAAATTCCATGGGAACTTTCCGTAAGGTTAGATTCCAAACTTCTGAGTTTACTTTGAGTTTTACATTTGAGTGAACAGGAAGAGTTCTGCTCTGTGCTCAATTTACATTGGATTCTACAGCAATCATACTCCTTCAGCCTCTGTGCAGTTACCCCAGATTTTATGCACTGTTAATCGGATCAAAATCTGGCCTATTGTCTCATAGTCACTTGCCCCTGACATAGCCAAGTGTCATCTGGTTAAGTCTTTAAAGGGTCAGGTAATGTGGTAAGCTTAATCTACAATAGAATCTTGTATCATCCATGTGGGAACTAATGATACGGCCAGGAGTAATCCAGACTGGGTCATGAGCGACTACAGGGCTCTGGGCTCAAGGGGTTGGGAGCCCAGGTAGTCTTTTCTTTTGTGCTCCCTGTTGTAGGCTGCAGTCCCAGAAGGGAAGGATGCATTGAGGAAGTGAACTGGCAACTCTGACACTGGTGCCACTGAGAAAGCTTTGGATTCCTTGACCATGGCATGCACTTCAGGGAGAGAGGACTCCTGGGAAGGGATCCACTTCACGAGGAAAGGTAAGTCCCTGTTCACGGCCAGGATAGCCAATCTTTTGGACAGGGCTTTAAACTAAGATTGTTGAGGGACAGGGATACACAAATTCAAACATGTCCAGGGACCAACATACCAGTCAGCACAACAGATAGAGACACTGGGAGAGCCACTCTTGCGGGAGCTGAGGGAATACTTCTCCATCAGCAGGATGGGAAGATGAGGGCCTCAGTAGGAGGACTCAGGTGTCTATATACTAATGCCAGGAGCATGGGAAACAAGCAGGAGGAGCTAGCCCTCCTACTCTCCAGTGTGCATTATGATTTAATAGGTATTATGGAGACCTGGTGGGACTTGTCACATGACTGGAGCGTAGCTATAGAGGGCTACACCCTGCATAGAAGGGACTGGGTGGGGGAAAAAAGGTGGAGGCATTGCTCTCTGTGAAAGAACAGTACACCTCCTTGGAGGCTGACATCAGCTCCAAAAATGGACAGCTTGAAACCCTCTGGGTCAAGTTGCAAGTGGGGAGAGAGAGAGGGGTGCAGCGACAGAGATCTAACTGTAGGAATATACTACAGACCACCAAACAAGGGGGAGGAACTTGGTCTGGAGTTCACCCGAGAATTGACTGAGGCTGCACGTGCATGTGACATGGTCATCATGGGCCATTTTAATTATCCAGACATCTCCTGGGAGGAACACTCGGCCAAGTTGGAACAGTCACGATCTTTCCTGACCTGTGTCACGAGCGGTTGCGAGCTCTTCCTGACTCAGGAGGTACACGGGCCAACCAGAGGCAATGCTCTGCTAGACTTTGTCCAGGCCAAAGGAGACAACCTGGTGACCGACTTAAATATAGAGGGCAGTCTGGGTGACAGTGACCATGAAACCATCACATTTGCTGTCTGACATAAGGCACACAAATCAGATAGCAGGATTGAAGTCTCGGACTTCACAAATGCGAATTTCAACAAGCTTAGGTCACTAGTAGGGCAAGTGCTGTGGGACCAGGGACCAAAGGCAACAGGTGTGCATGAAGAGTGGTTGTTCCTTAAGGACACAATCCTTGAAGCACAAAGGAAGTTCATTCCCATGTGGAGAAAAGGTAACAGAAGGGCTGGAAAGCCTTCTTGGCTAAACAAGGAAATCATGGTCCTCTTAAGAAAGAAGAAAGAGGCTTATAGATTTCATAGACATTAGGGCTGGAAGGGACCTCGGAAGATCCTCAAGTCCAGCCCCCTCCCTAGGGGCAGGAAGTCAGCTGGGGTCATAGGTTCCCAGCAAGATAAAAATGTCTCTTGAAGGCGTTCAAAGTAGGTGCTTGAACTACTTCCAGCGGCAGGCTATTCCTTATGTCCAGCCAGAAATGATCATGGAGGAGTTTGACCATTCGATCTTGTCATCCCTTGGGGTGCTCTGGTGAACAAACATTCCCCCAGATCCTGATGAGTACCCCTGATAAACTTATAGGCGGCCACCAGATCACCCCTGAGCCTACACTTTGCCAGGATGAAGAGTCCCATGGCTCTCAGCCTCTCATCATAAGGTATGTTTTCTTGACCTCTGATCATGCATGTGGCTCTCCCAAGCTTCTTCACATCATTTTTGAATTGTGGAGCCCAAAACTGGATGCAGTACTCTAGCTTCGGCCTCACCAAGGCTGAGTACACGGGGAGAATGATGTCCTGGGATTTGCTTGAGAAGCATCTATGGATGCAAGCCAGCGTTTTGCTCACTTTACTAGCTGCAGCATCACATTGATGGCTCATGTTCATCCTGTGGTCAGTCATGACCTTCAAGCCCCTCTCATCCATAGTGCTAGCCAGCGTAGCACTGCCAAGCCCATAAGCATGCTTCAGGTTTTTCCTCCCAAGGTGGAGAACCTTGCATTTTTTGGTGTTAAACACCATCAGGTTCTCATCCGCCCATTTGCTGAGCCTGTCAAGGTCAGCCTGGGTTGCCCTTCTGTCCTCAGGTGTGGATGCTTTACCCCAAAGTTTGGTACTTTACCTCAAAGTTTGGTGCTTTATAAACAGTGGAAGCTTGGGACGGGCCCCAAGGAGGATTATTCCATGGCGGCCTGCATTTGCAGGGAACACATAAGAAAGTCTAAACCATCAACCAAACTTAGATTAGCAATGGGAGTCAAGGACAATAAGAAGTCCTTCTTTAGGTACATAGGGAACAGGAAGAAAACAAATGGGAGTGTGGGGCCACTGCTCAACAACTCAGGAGAGCTGGTTACTGGCACCCAGGAGAAAGCTGAACTCCAGAATGACTACTTCGCCTTGGTCTTTCAAGGGGAAAACCATGCCAGGTAGAGTAGAGGATGAGCACGGTAGGAATAATCACCTTCCTACTATTGCTGTAGAATTGGTGTGTATGACCAATTAATAAAATTAGACATATACAAATCAGCAGGACCGGATGATCTTCATCCAGGAGTGCTGAAGGAGCTGGCTGAAGTCATTATGGAACCCCTGGTAAAACTCTTCCACAACTTGTGGCACTCTGGAGAAGTCCTCAAGGACTGGAAGAGGGCCAATGTTGTGCCCATCCACAAGAAGGCCAGGAGGGAGGACCTGGGTAACTATAGATCAATCAGCCTAACTTCCATCCTAGGGAAAATCCTAGAAAAGTTCATCAAGGAGTCCATCTGTGATAAGCTTGCAGAAGGTAAGATTCTGAAAGACAGTCAGCATGGCTTCGTTGCAGGCAGGTCTTGCCTTATCAACCTCATCTCCTTCTATGACCTGGTAACTCACCACCTGAACACGAGAGAGCAGGTTGACATTGTATACCTAGACTTCCAAAAAGTCTTTGATCTAATATCCCACTATGTCCTCACGAGAAAATTGGAGGGTTGTGGGCTTAACTCGAGACAGTCAGGTGGATGAGAAACTGGCTGCAGGATAGGACCCAGAGAGTCGTAGCGAATGGATCTGTGTCATCCTGGCGAGAAGTGGGCAGCAGTGTCCTGCAGGGGTCGGTGCTCAGTCTAGTACTTTTCAACATCTTTATTAACGATTTGGATGTGGGGATGAAGAGCTCACTGGCCAAGTTTCCGGACAACACAAAGTTATGGGGGAGCTTGGTTACACTTGAAGATAGGCTACAGTTACAGGCAGACCTTGACAGGCTAGCGAGTAGGGCAGATTGGAACCAGATGAAGTTAAACTTTGAGAAATGTAAAGTGCTTCACCTCAGGACGAGCAACCCTC